TGAATCGAAACGTCGCGATTCTATCGTCTTTGCGCCATAAGATTTGTTGATACCGCCTATCTTCTTCGTGCAATCGTATCTGCAAATACATTTTCTCTATATCCGCCGTAATTACATAATTGTAGGTTCGAAACCGAATCAAGTGGGCAAATAGCTTGTCTTGAATCGTAGGGCCGACCAATAGCATGTCGTTTAAAGATACGCCACTATTAGACTTCGCGGACGCGTCAAAAACTATTCGCACCTTCGTTGTGTTACTCGAATCCTTTAATATCGCGTGATGAGGCATATAGTACCCGAGATCGTCAGGATTCTTCACCTCGGACAAATAATTTAATTTTAAATATTTTTCGATTATTCGAGTATATTCTGCCTTCAACGTTGGGTTTACACGAAGCTTTCGTTCCAGCGCGGTTAGACGTTTAAATGCGGCGACTCGTGAATCTCCGAAATAACTCTTGGTCTCGCGGAATGGTAAGCGAACTATATACCTTCCGGAATCGTCACGAGACACGGTTTGCGTAAAGTGCGTTTCACACACGTCCTCCTCCACGGACTTTGAAGCGTTTACCGTAATTTCCTCGATCGACCAGAATTTGTTCAATTGCGACTCCAAGTCCGTCACATGGCATTTTTCGGATTTTGCCGGGATTTGCGAGGTCGAACCGCCAACGATCACTCAACCCAAGCGCGTTTTCTGCATGTACAAGTCATACCCGTCGCGAGATAGATTCACTTGCCCAATGGATAGTAATGACACCGTCGCACCGGATCCAATCAGTAAATCCACAGGCTGCGGTAAGTGAAAGCTCGGATCTGCTAGCCTTACATTCGCGGGTATTTCTATTAGATTTCGTGGAAAACTTTCAGTCGGAATCAGATCTGTGATAGACGGTAAAGTTATGCACGTCAAGTTCCTACTATACTCATTGTTTGTCGATTTCATGACGATTGTTACTACTCCCTTCGACACGGTGTTCATTGCATTTATTGCGCCGACAGATACGGTTTGCGCATGCACCTGTATGTTCAAACGTTTTACTATGCGATCAGTGATGATATTCACCGTCGCGCATGTATCTAACAACGCGCGGCATTTGATAAATCTGCATCTGCCGTCGCTCACATAAACCATCGCGCTCATCAACAATTGTGGTGTCATTTTGTTACTTATTGACGCGAGGCTCGTCATTCCGCTATTAGTGAATACGCTTAGTCAAGATTTGGTCGTTTCCGATTCCGTCGCGTCTACCTTACCCGATGTCTTGTATCCTTCGAGGTGCAGCAGCGTATTATGGCGTTTGTTACAAATGGTACACGCGGAAAATTTGCAAGGACGATCCCGATGGGAGCGCAGACAATTGTAACAGACCTTTGCATTTTTAACCGTCTCAACGCGCTTAGGAACGGATAATTGTCTAAATTTATCGCATCGAAATAGAGGGTGTTGTTTGGTTTTACAGATTGGACAATTCCGTGTCGTATTCACTATAAACGCCTTGTTAGTAGCGTAGCGCTTTCTTTTAATCTCGGGCTCGCCCCTGCAATTCCCTGATTCGATTGCTCTCGACCTCTCACGTTTCGACGCGCAGATAGCCGTTTTATACAAAAACTCGTATAATTGATCCAGTGTCGGAAATTCGTCTCTGTCGAGACTCGTCTCCCACTTATCCAGCGTGATTTTTGGCAATTTATTTTCTATGATATGTACTATCATCTCGGGCCCGACGGAAACATCTAACGCGTTCAACGATGCTAGGTGTTGCTGCGCGTCGTCCGCGAGCTTGGTCAGAGCACTCGTGCTTTCTTTATCTAGTACAGGCAAATTTAGTATTAGCGATAAATGCCGAGTTATTAAAATACGTTTCACCTCGTAAGAGCGTTCTAAGAGCTCCCAAGCCTTAGCATAGTTTATGCCGTCGAGGGTAAATATCTTTATTTTGTTAGCGGCGTCGCCGATTAGCGCTGACTTTAAGTAATGTAACTTCTCGATATCCGACAAGTCTGTTTGCGAGCCGATCATGCTATGAAATGTATTTTTAAACGACAGCCAGTTCTCATATTTACCGTCGAACGTTGGCATCGGGGCCTCAGGCAACTTGAAACGACGTTTTTTTACCGATGCTATAACTGTTGCATTATTGGTTTGCGTCCCGATGCCCGTTGCGCTAGTACTCGCGGTTTCCGTTTCTACCGGACTAATGATCCTACCCGCGAGAGCATAAAAACGCTCCTGAATGTTCGCAAACTCGGTTTCATGCCCGTCGTTTGGCTCTAATATCGCGAGCTCATCGTGATAATCTTCATACGCATGGTATAATTCGGTCAAGCGATCTATTCGCAATTTTAACGTACTCTTATCGAGCTTACCCCTTTCCGCAGAATTGGTTAAAACGGTGATTTGCGATTTGAGGGAGGTTTGCTTCTGAATGAGGAGCTTGACTCTATCGGCCATATTTATTGTTTATGTCACGATTGTGAATGAACGACTTACTCAGACTGTTAAGGACGTATGCCGTTTGAAGACATATGCCGCTTTAAGACGTATGCCGCTTGAAGACGTATGCCGCTTGAAGACACTGCGATATTGTGGAATTGATGGCGTGGATACATATTAGTAGTTGCTTCCTTTTAAACCAGGGGTCGAGAGTTCAAATTTCTCTGGGGGCACCAAAATGTTCTGTCTATCAGCACGAGCCGTTTAAGGAACGCACTGTATTTTCGCGTTGATGGATCGGTTCACAATGAATGTTGACACTTTATTAATATAAAAAGTATATTATGGTATAAAATAAAGTATATCTCGTAAAAGTATATCTTTCACACAAATGATGCACGCGAATGTGTTTTTGATTCACAATTGGCAATGTTTTAAACGCCTGATATCACAGTTTTATGTAACGGCGAACACCCTTTTTTTTTTTTTTTGTTGAGGAAATCTTCAAAAGACGCCCGGGGAACCATCCCGGGCAGTGTCGGATTCGTCGCCCCGAGCCGAAGTTCGGTCCGGCGCCTACCGATTAAAACCTCCCCGCGTCACACCAAGACCTTCAACGATACAGGAGACGGAATTTGACTCAGTACAACATCATC